CTTGTTGGTGGTTCAACTCGAATTCCTAAAGTCCAAAACTTGCTACAAACATTCTTCGGTGGAAAGACTTTAAACCTTTCTATCAATCCAGATGAGGCGGTAGCATACGGTGCAGCAATTCAAGCAGCCATTCTGAGTGGTGATAAGAGCAGTGCAATTCAAGATGTCCTCTTGGTTGACGTGGCACCATTATCACTTGGAATTGAGACCGCGGGTGGAGTGATGACCAAATTGATTGAGCGGAACAGTCGTATTCCATGCAAACAGTCAAAAACCTTCACGACATATGCAGATAACCAACCAGCTGTTACCATTCAGGTGTTTGAAGGTGAACGTGCCATGACTAAAGACAACAATTTGCTGGGCACATTCAATTTAACTGGGATTCCACCAGCTCCGCGAGGAGTACCCAAAGTAGATGTAACTTTTGATTTGGATGCTAATGGAATTTTAAATGTGACGGCAAAGGAAATGAGCACCGGCAATGCTAAGAATATAACCATAAAGAACGATAAGGGACGACTTTCACAAGCAGACATCGATCGCATGGTAAATGAAGCGGAAAAATATGCCGAGGAAGATGATAAACACCGTCAACGAATAACTGCCCGCAATCAACTTGAAAGTTATGTGTTTGGTGTAAAACAARCAGCTGACGAAGCGGGAAGCAAATTAAGTCAATCAGATAAGGATCGAGTACTGGAGAAGTGTAAAGAGACGATTAAGTGGCTTGACAGTAATACCACCGCCGAAAAGGAGGAGTTCGAGTATAAATTGGAGGAGCTAACGAAAATATGTAGTCCAATTATGACAAAGATGCATCAACAAGCAGGAGGTGCTGCCCAACAACCTGGTAATTGCGGACAACAATCTGGTGGTTTTGGCGGTGGTAATTATGGTGGACCAACAGTCGAAGAAGTTGACTAAATTCCAATTTGTTGTATTAAAATTTAATTTATGTATTTTAATTAGTTGGTACAAGACTGTGATTTAGTTTTTAATTAAATTATCTTTGAAATGAATTTTAGTAAATACATATGTTGTTATTGTTGCTAAGTTCGTGATTCTTTACAAGTTTTAAATAAAACTAGCCACTTTTCAATACTTTTAAACAAAGAATTAAGTATTTTATTAAAACGGGTGTTCAAAATTAAAAGTATGAGTACTTTGGTTTGTTGTTCCACTCTTATTTATACCTAGCCAATTCCGGAAACGAATTTTTTTTATAGATTTCGTTTAGAATTTCTAGTAAGTTAACTCTCAGAATTTCTTGAAAAGTAATAAAATAATTTTCAATTGAAAGTTTGAAATAAAAGTGTATTTACAATTCGGGATGTCCTTAAAAGTACTCAATTGTGTACTTTTATTTGTACACACATACATACATATATAAATCTTAAGTACAAGAAAAGTGTGCGAGTATACACATTTATACATGAGTGCTTAACAAGCCTTAACAAAATAAATATTAAAAACAAAAACTAAAACAATAATAATAAAACATAAAAAGTAAAACTAATAGTGCGGCTGCTCGTCAGCTTTGTCAGTAACCACTTCTGTGGCGTTAGTAGTCGTAGAGATGGAAAGCTGCTGGGAGTGCCTAAAAACAAAAATTGTGCATTTTATATAGAATATCGAGCAACAAAGCAAGTGCAGTTTATGAATACGTCAATTATGTATATGGTTATGTGCATATATACATACATTTATAAAGGTATGAGTATGCAGGTGCTTCAATGTGTGTGTGTGTATGTAGTATGGTATTGATGAAGCTGAGTGTGTTCAGTTGGCTTTGTAATTTAAAAAAAAATATTGAACTTTTGCCTTGACCAAACTTTGATTTATTAGTTTGTCTATGCTTTTTTGATATCATGAATGCGTTTACATGTTATTTATGTTAATTTTGATGGATGAATAATGTGTGGCCAACACTACGAAGGTGCTTAATAAATATACTTTAAAGTTTTTGGAACCAACCTGTAAAACACATAGTGTTGAAGAATAAACAACACATCGAAGAGCACGGAGAATAGACCCATGCCGAATTTCGTCACTGAACCGAAAATTGACACCCAATCGTCTGCAAACATTGAAGTAGAATATAAGTTTTTTTAGGTGAATAAAAATGAAAACAAATTACTGTAATTGTACGCGTTCAAGATCATCTGCAACATGCTGAGCAAACCACCAGTGAAATCCAACAGAATATTACCAATACTCCAGCCAGTAGTGCTCTTGCGGCGATAGTTCATCAGTGCCTGCAGACGTTCAAGTTATAAAAATGTTGTAATATTCAATAATTAATGTCAGACATGGCGTTTTTATTGAGAAGGCATATGTAATGCGTTTTTGTTGTTTTTTTTTTAGCTAACCTGGGGCACATATTTGATGATCATTGCCAATTTAATGTAACTGCAGTAGTATAGAAAATCCAGCCACTGCACAACACCAGTAATGGCTAGAATCAATGTAACCAAAACAATTATCGCGATTGCGGTTAATATACCAGACGCGATTTTGGAGACTCTTTGTTCGGCGCGCTGTAATAATAACACCATATAAATATAAAATAATACAAGAAAAAATGTGAACTTCGGTCAATTTAAATGAGAGCTAAGTATATGCTTTAGTGTTTCGATCTAAACAATTTCTTAAGGGATTGTAGCATTTCTTCGGACAATATTGTGGACATTTATGTAAAATTTGGTGGAGCTATCTTTGCAAATGAAAAAATCTTACATACAGTTATATGCTATAGTTTTTAATACGAACAATTTGTTCTTGGTCAATCACTTTCGGAAAGATCTCTTGTCTTATAAAAATGTTTTCCATGCCAAAATTTTATTTTGACCGATCAGATTGCATGACAGCTATGAGGGCTGTTCATTGGGGAGAAAAGGACGTGTGGAATAGTTTAAACTGATATCTCAAAACTAGAGGACATACTTCACATGACATAGACAGATCGACTCAGTTTAACAACTTCTCTTGGACCAGGGGTTATCAGGAGGACATGGCGCTCTGTAACATCGTTTTGCAGATTTTTTTCCAACAATTCACTACAATCATATTCTGTCCCCGGTCTTTACATTTACATTATAGGGTCGCCGACGTTTCTTTCAGGGTGTTATAAACTTCCTTAATATACATTGTTCAGCGCTTAATTACTGCGCTAATTAAAGTTCATTTTTAAGTTTATAATAAGTATTTAAGTTTGTGTTATGGTTCACCAAGCCTTACCTCAAATAAAAAGCACTGGATAATTGTAATGGCTGTGGCAAACATCGCATGTAAACCAAATACTACATCATTCAATAAAACTGGATTCATACCACGTGGATGTCGACTGGCATATTCCTCCTGTATGCTGGGTACCCAATAGAGGCCACAATTGAAAACACTATATAGTGTAAATCCAACAATGTTGAGCGCTAGAAAATCAAAATTTAATCCAACTACAGATTTTCGTCTCAAATTAATGAAAATCTGCGGGTAGAACGAAATGGACCAGGCCACAAAATAAATCCAACCGAATACGATTGATGTGTAAATAATCGGCTCCGACTTTGCAACAGTAATGCGTACAAATAAATCGTCAACACTGCATAAAAAATTGTATGAGTACATTATAATAAAAAAGTGAGTACATTCTGCGCACACGTACATCCAGGACTCGTCCGGTACGCTCGTCGCTGTAACTTCTAGGTGTCCAAGTTGGAGTCCTCGAACGCTAATTGTTCTATTTTGTGGATTCGATGCACTGATTGTGAAGTAGTTAGGATCCAATTCTACTAAAGTCTCATGCTGTTTTACCAATTGGACAAAAACGTCTTGTTCCAATGGATCCCTGTAAGATGTAAAAATTGGTGGAAACTACCGTCGTAAGAGCGGATCAATTTCAACTCGCTTGTTGCGATTGGACTAGTTGATTACATTTTTTAATTACTATTACCTCACCCTGTGAATGCTTGCATATTTACTTTATATAGTATATTCTGTTGAGACTCACCTGAGTAGAACGTCAAATGTTTTTGTGTTTTTTACTATAATTGTGAGATCATGTGTGGATACTGTTAACCCGCTTCGGTTAGAGCTTTGTGTGAATCGTTCATCTGCGGCTGTTTGTGTGAATAAAGCTACTGGAAGTTCGACGAATCAATTAGTAATTATGAAGTACAATGAAGTATACAATTCGCTAACTCACCTATTATTGATATCACAAATATTAATGAATTCGTATACCGAGGTATACTGTAGATACCAGTAGATTTCTTCATTTTATTACACGAATTTTCTGAAATAAATAAAAGTATTAAAATATTAATAAAAATTGAAAAGTAATGATGTAAAAAAGTAATTCACAAATAAATTGCAAATTTCTTCGGGGAATACATCAGCTGATTCAAGTCACGATGTTTAAGCATTCAAAATTAGTTAATCGGGATTCTCTGTATAAGTGATCGGCGTGACGAGCAAAGTATTTAACCATGTCCATTTGTCCGTTTTAATATAAACTGAAACTAGATCTCAGTTTTTGAGATATCGATTCGAAATTTCGCACACGTTGTTTTCTCCCCAATAAATTGCTCCTTTGTTGGAATCGCCGTTTTCGGACAACTACAGCTACCAGACAAACTGAACAATAATTATAAAATTTTTGTATGGTCTTTTTTTGATAAGATATCTTCACGAGTTTTGATAAGGATTTTGATCAAAGGTACAATTTCCGAATATATTGCTCCGATCTGACCACTGTTGCATATAGCTGCCGTACAAACTGTCCGATCAATATATAGATTTTGTATGGATTTGTGGAAGCTGTTATAGTTCCGATGCAATCTAATTTTATTTTTGCAGTTACCTTTTATTCTTGTTTCAAATATCAATTATTATAGTAAAAATTATCAACATTTCGGTATCACTACACTTGCATGTAATTGTTTTCATTCATACATATTTATAGAATGCAAACATGGACATACTTACATACTATGTTTTTTGTTTAGTTTTGGTGCTTCATATAACTTGTAAATACTCTCTCGCTGATTAATTAATTGTTAATGATTTCATATTATTATTTAATTTTTTGTTGTTTTTCTGAGAACTTACTACAACAACATTCATATAAATTTTCAATTTTCTTGTCAACACTTTCATACAATATGCAATTATATAAAGTATTTGGTTGGTATATGAAACAACATTTAAGGAATGCAATCAGATCATGTGTATGTGTGCGTATGTTTATTTTTAACAATTTCCTTTACTACTTCAAGCTAAGTGCGGAAATTCCACGCAATTGAATCAATTAATTCGAGCAAAGTGCGTGTGGATTGTTCATATACTTATGAATTTATGAAAGTGCATTTATTGATTGCCCTAATAAAGATATATAGTTCACATTTGTACATGCATATGTACTTATACCCTCATATGTATCTTTACTACTAAAGATTGGTTGAACAAATTGTTTAGTAATTACAAGACGAGATTGAGCCGTTTCAATTCATCGGAAGACGATGTACAAAATAAGTGTAAGTATTATGTTTTGTGGGAGTGCAGAGTCAAAGCATCGTGGTAAGACTGGCGGAGTACGGTTATCGGAGATTTTGCGGCATAACTGTAGGTAAAGCATTAAAGTCAAGCCGGCGTCATTCGTTGCTTCATTCAATTTTCCAAAGGAAGTTCTATTCAATGAATACGCGTTCTGCTTTCCACTTGCCAGTTCTGTTGAGAAGATCGTGGTCGGCGGGTAAAATATTTCGGTTGTGTTTTTTCAGGTATAATATATTCATATGTATTTAATAGGTTGAGGAGTGCTTAGCAGGGGCTAACTGCTTTTTAGCTTTCAACCGGGTCCACGTCAAGACATATATTATATTTTAAAATAGTGGAAATAGTCGTGTAGTAATTGTAAACTTCCGGCCTGTGCAGTGGTTAAAGGGCTACATGGGTTTTGTCGGGTAAAAAACAGCCTTTTTTCAAAAAAAAAATTTTTATTGTTACAAAAATACACTATTAACGAAAAAATTCTTAAAGTTTTTGAAGAGAATATTTTAAACTCAGCCAATGCGCCGCGATTTCCGGTAACCCCTTTGGGAAAAAGATACGCCCGCGTGGCAAGATTAGAGGATTCAACTTGGACAAAGGTAAAAAAAAACTAAAAATTGATTTCTGGTAGACATTTTTATAATAAGATTGAAAATTTCGGAAAAAATTTTCCGACGTTTTTTCAAATAGTTGTAATCGAAAAAATCCTTTGTCTTTAAGAATTGCATCTCAAAGAGTTGTGTAAAATTTCATGAAGATCGGTTGAGTAGTTCTCGAGAAATCTTGCCAAGTGACTTCAAAAGAACAGTATCGAGATAAACGCGTTTAAAGATGACGCACTTAGCCTAACTAGCCTCCAGCGCACAAGCTCTCAAGGCTGTTACTCCGAAGCTAAAACTATTAGGACAATATTCTATAGTTGTTGTAGGATTTAATAATACAATAAAAAAATCGATATTTTGAAATACGTAAACCCATGTAACCCCTTAACATTTCTTGGGAGGTTATAACCTAAAAATCACTTATCAACGCTTCATGGACAAAGTTAGGTTACTTGTGGCACTAGATCGTGAAATATTTCACGAATGTTTAAGTGATTTAATCATTGATGATACGCCGTTTGGAAAATGTTACAACTCAAGGACATATGTATGTAATTCCCCAATTTTTTTAAATTCAAAAATAATCGAAAAATGCCCTTCCGAAATAAAAATAAAATTAACTTTATTCAACCACCCTTGTGAACGTCAATATTTCTATACATACATACGCACACCAGCTACGAACCTTTAAAACGTGATAACCGCGACGTCCATTTATTGAATGAAAACGAGACCAAACGTGCTAAAATTATCATATTAGTGTTTATTGGAATGGCCAAATGCTGATTAATTGCGCCAGTGAAATTTTAATCGCTGTTTGTCAACAATGTGCCATTGTCTATACGGGCTAATTGGGCAAGTACGTACATATGTATGCACTTGTACACATTGTATTTATGTATTATGTAGTACATGTGTTGGTATTTATGTTCATATGGCATAGATGGCTTATTTACTTTTCTAAGTAAAGGTCAGTAACGTGAATTCTGTCAGTAATTAGCAATTCTAGGCATTATTATTTTGGTAGTAGACGAATGAAGGTGCATGAGTAACAACTACGATTGAAATTGACGTTTATTTGACGTAATCGTAATATGGAATTCCCATATTTTGTGCTGGGACTGGTAGTTTTTTGCATTACTTCAGGCTGACTTCAAATCGAATAATCGAATGGAGAATCGTTGTAACATAATGTTTGATTCTCCTACTGTTTGATGACAATTCTTCCAGCTAATCTTTTTGTAAATATATATGTAGTTATATATGAGTTTCTACGGTTAACTTTTTATATTGTTTGACAGCTGTCAAATACATATTTAAGAATCTAAATTCATATTCAAAACTTATACTGTCTATACTACATAAACGCTAATAATAATTCCTAAAACATTAGAATGATTTGAGATACTAAATTATTATGAAAAATTATTACTTACACTTAAGTAAGAAAATTTGAATATATTTTGATGTTTGACATTTCTCTTAGGTTAGTATTATTATTAAATTTACGCGTGTTCAACTTAGGTGCTATGTTCATCCCTCATATTCACTAGTAACTTTATTAAGTATGCAAGCAACTAATAAAACTCATCCAAGCCACGTAGCTGATAACAACGGCTATTAAATTGACATTTCACATACATTTTTCGTATAGCTTGATTAGAATGATTTTATAGTGCTATTAAATCGATATGCAAGTTGCGTTCGTTGTAAACTTAACCCTTAATAGCCTAGAGTATTAATTTTGATACCAATCTTTTGAACCGAGTGTTCGCATTACTATTAGTTTTTTTTAAAGGTCGACTGTACGTATTTTTTCCAACGAAATTAAAAAAAAAAAAATCAAATGTCATTATTGTTTTATCTATGACATATTACTTGCACGGCAAAGTGAACAAGTAAACACATTTTACTAAAAGTTTTGTTGAATACAAATTTGATATATTTTCGTTTTCTGAAGAATATAAATACTTTTGAGGTAAGTGAATATTTCATTTTTTCTATGAGATATTTATTTTTTGCGAGTTCATGTTTTACTATTAGTGCCATTTTTGTGAGTATCAATTCTGATGCGATAATAAAAACAATCAATGTTTCGCATTATTTCATGTATAGGTACATACATATATCTGTGTTTTTTTCTAAATAAATATGTAAAATAAATTTTGTGATTTTTTAAAGCTATTTTTCTCATCATCTTGACCCTCAAGCAAACACAGTAATATTAAAAATAAATCACTTTCGTAAATCAGACTATTAAGGGTTAATATACCCTGTCCTAGGTATAAATATGACATAGGTTTTTTATTTTAGATCATATTTATGAAACTGGCAAACGCACGTAGAAAGTAGGCCCAGCTTTTGAGGCATCATTAGAGTTTATCGAAATTAGCGTTATTAAACACTTTGCGAAATTTTCTTCAAATTACATATTGCTAACGCAATCGTGTTGAAAAAAATGCATATTAAAACGTTCGTTTTGGCTTACCTTAACTTTGGAAAGCAATTAGTGACTTGTATTAAATTTATGGTAGTTGAACTTTATGGCTTTTCGCGTGTGTACATATATACGAGTGGATTGTGAATATGTTTGCACGTAGTTGAAAAGTGGTTAATAAGTCTAATTGATAAACCTCGCTCTTGGCAATGAATCGCTACAGTTTAGGTTTTACGTTCTGGTTTACAAACGCACCCATGTACATACATAAGTGTGCATGCATCTACAATATATAGTGCTCGGTAGCTTTGGAAAACACCTGTGTCTAAGCGTCTATATTCATGAGCCGGTTTAAAAAGTTAAGCAAATAAACAATCATAAAAAGCTTAATCATAGAAAATACTATATATTACTAACCTATGGACACACAAAATAGAAAATGCACGGGCACAAGAAATTAGCAAAAAGCAAACAGCTCCTTAAATTTAAATGAAAGAAGAATTGTGCAGTTCAAATCTATCGGAATTATGTTAATTTTGAACATAACTCTTAAACAAAGTAACACTTTCGTAAGGTCTTTTTGGAATGTAAGAACAAGTCACATATTTTGATAAGAGCAATTCATTGCATTGCGTGGTTTGTGAGTTAGATATGACGCAAGTACGTGTGAAAATTACCTCATAACGGTAAACCTGCTCTGGGGCACCAAGTTATTAAGTAACACAATATTTTAATTAATATTTTTGTAATTTTAAAACCCACCAGCCATGGCTCTGGGTAATTCTCTACGCTGATATCATACATATTCCGAGACTTTTTTTTAAATAAATAAACACTTTATTTCAATGCCGTGATTCAACTAATTGTGGACCAACCAATTTATCCACTCACTTGCAGCTTCACGCTCAATGAAAGTGCAATTTTGTAATTTTCTTAGGTTACATCTGTTGTTCAGGGGTTCTTTACAGCAATGCACATAAATAAAATAAGTATAACGCTCAACTTGTTATTATTATTTGAGCAGTTTTAAGTACCTGCATATTTATTTAGTTTACAGTGAACTAGAAATAAACTTTACAATTGTAGTAAAAATTAACTAGCTTTTGACATGTTTATGTATTACATATAGTACACATGTAAATAATTCGGTTTGTATGATATTCAATAAAATAACTAGATTCAAAAAACAAATACATATTTTATACTCTGCTTTGGTAAAAGCGTTGAAATGTCGGAGAAAAGGTGAATTAACTAATATTCAATCTAAAAAAAGTTGTTTTTAATATAGAAGTTTTTTTTAATATATCTTTTAAAGCGTTATATACAGTTAGAATTTAAAAAAAATCGATTTTTTTCAGGTATTTTCTTAATGTACATATATATTTAAGAATACACACAGAACATTTTATATCGTTCCGGTGAATATTTTCGAAGTTACAAGTAAATGTGAAAAAGCATTTCAGTGTGCTATGTAAAGTGTATTCCAACCTTTAAGGGATCGTCTCAATGCAAAATTTTCGAAAAATCGATTAAAATCGAAATTAAAATTATTAGGTCGATACAGCGTTTCTTGTAGAAAGGGTACAGAGTGGAGAACTCAGAGAAACAATCTTTAAAAGCGTTTTTCTCACAGCGGTTGCCACTCTCAAAGAAAGAAGTTTTGAAGAAATCTAGTTCTCAATTTGTGATAATATTTTTAACGTCATTCGCTATCGCGCTACGGAAGCTTATTTTGTTGAAATCTTTCTATTTTTTTTCTACGAAAAACTGTCGGAAAAAGAGTAAAATTCAATACTTTTTGTTCAAACAATAACACTTTTTTATAAACAATTTAAGACCGACATTTTTTTTAAAAAATCTTTTTTTTTAAGAAACCGCTATTTTGTCAAAAAAAATTATTTTGCTTATTCTTTCGATTAATTATTATATTTCACTTTAACGAAATCTGTTTGGTTTTCTAATTTCATAGGATCCAGTTCAGAGATATAGTGGTCACCCCGAAATGCATTTTTTAAGAGGAGCTCTCGGAGATTAATTGTAGTCTCTTTCTAAATAAATATTTTTATTAATACTAAGTCTTAAAATATAGTTAAAAGATACCAAGTGTACAAATTCTTCGATCAAATTTATTGTTTTCGTTAAGAAAAGCCGTTAATAAAAACTGTTTATTAAAAACTACTACAAGCTTAATTTCACAACAGTAAAGTGTGTGTTTTTTTGTAAACTAATTAGGAAACAGTGGTGGTATAAGAGGTATAGGCGCTGTAAGTGTGGGGAACACATTGTTTTGTACCATATGTTATTGGGCATTTTGGAAATTTTAGCTTCGTGATTAATGACTTTAATACGTATGTACTATAAGTCATTCGGTTAAAATTATGGTAAAAATAGTTACAAGTTTATTTGGGAAATCATTTTATATAGACCGTTATTATGTTTTTAACGTCTACACCGACGTCATCTTATGTTCAAAATTACAAACTTAGTTTTTTTTTATTATAACTGTGCATTCGATTTTTCGATTTTATTTAAAGTATGTACTCTAGGCGACGATATGTTATCTGATATACTCTTATATGAAGTGTTAGTACCAAAAAAATATACTTAGAGCGTTAAAGAGCCGTAATTTTTAGTATATATCTCTCTTGAATAGAATTAATATGTACATTTTGCGTTTTTAGGAACTGTATCCCCATAAAAACGCGTGGTTATGTCAGTTTAAATCATTATAATTTGTAAATTCGATCCATCTTTTTAAAGAACAAGAAAAAACGTTAACTTGCTAATTCTTCACAGGTGCATTTCTTAAAGCAACTATAATAAAATAATCGAACGTTTAAAAAAAAAATATTTTATGAAAATCTCTACCTTTATTTTGATCAATAAGTTTGTGCTAAATCCTATAATGGTCTGACAGCAGTTTCTTGAGGAAAATTTCAGATTAATATCTCAAAGATAGTAGGAGTATGTTATATCTGAGAGACTTGTTGGATTTTTTGGCAGACAGAGATGCATTAATAAGTCGACACATTGATCATTTATATACGTAGTTTAGGGTATACAATTTAAGTTTTTCTGAAATAGTTAAGTACACTAATTTTCGGTAATTTATTAATTAAACAAATATATGAAAACCCCTCAAGTATGAATAACTGTTCTACATTATTATCGTCAATTTCACGAAGAAAATCATTCATTTTAACAGTTCAATTGTCTTATCAATTATCAGTTAACGTCAGACACTTGTATAAAGTGTTTATAACTATTTACATACTTAGTCGGTTCTATGCACATTTTTATAACCAAAGTGTGGTTAGGATACATGTTAGAGTATTTTGCAATAATCTAAAGAATTAAAAAAAAAAACAAATGTTTTAACTAACAAAATAATTAAATTATATACCGCAAAATAAATAATTACTTTTCTTAAAAAATTTTTTCTTTCATAAATGGAAAACTTTTACATAATAATACAGCTTTGAATTTGTTCCACTGACACGTTACCGTAGAATTTTTAGGTATTAAGCAATTGGAGAAGAAGAAATATTTTTAGAACATTATATTGGGTAGTCGAAAAAGTCTTTTCGTATTTCTAATCAAACTTTAGCATAGATGTCACTAACAGTACTACCAACAGAAAAAAATTTACCGATTCGAAAAACAGGCGAAGTATAAATTAAAAGTTCACTTTTCACGCTTTTGTCGTTTATTACAGCAGAATAAAATCTTAAAATGTTCATTGGCAAGATCTTGTAAGCAGGATTTGTTTTAAAATATTTAATAGAATTTTAACGGATTAGCTTTAAGGAGCGAGTTGTACGCAATTAAAATTTTAAATCAATGGAACTGTAATCGGATAATTAATATCCAGGGAACTAAACGCATAAAGTGAACTAAGCACTAACTAACTTATTTCAAATTGTAAGCATTCAAAGGTTGAACCTTAATACTGGTATATCTACCGACCACTGAACGGAATATCGGCAGTTAAATAGTTAAAAAAGTAAAAAACCCAAGGGTATTTTCCATACTAATGGATCTACGATGTACATATGAATACGTGCATGTAAGCGTCGTATACATATAATACACCATTTTTGGTTTATTTTTACATTTTGATCCTCATATTAGAACGCTTATTCATGCTTTTATCACCGGCGGAGTGTGAATGAACGGTTAACTTTGTATAAATAAGCTGCATAATAATATACCAATCTCTATATACATATAAGTTGATATTTATAAATATTTATAATCACTTTCTTTTCAAAAATTGTATATTCAATCTGAAATTTGCTGGCTCGCGAATGTCATTAATTAATTGTTATAATAAGCAATACGACATAAAATCATTACTTTTTTGTGCCAATCGCCAAAAGCTTGCGCCACGGCACGTAAAAGCAATAAATATTTTATATACACATATAAAAAAAAAAAAACACAAAAATCGACAAGAAAAAACACTTGTCAAACTTATCGGAATTTCTTTTGCTGTACTGACTCGACTCCTCATAGCCACAGGAAATAATAAGATACGCTTTTGATAACAACAAATACATAACATACGTTAAACCTAAATGAAAACAAACATACCAGACTATTGTTTGAATTGTGCTAATAAGGTAAAGCCGAAATGTTTAATTATTCAAATATTCAAAAATCGAGTTTTAACTTTTTACTTTAATATTTATTAGCGTAGAGTTGTTCAGTTCTATAAGCCCTCAGTAGAGAATAACGCTTAAATAAATTTTGCAACTTAGCGAAAAATGATTTATCGTCACACGTGTGTCGATGCCGATATGGTGTTTGAAACGCAAGTCACTGAGTAAATATGAGTCCGATCACTTCGACGTTTATATCGCGACTAATAACGGCGCATTCAGTCTGTAACAAGAGGAGACCGCCTCTTATTCAAACACTGAAATGCAAACTCATGAGCGTTGAAAACTTTAAATCGGGCAATACAGTACACTCAGCTCAGAGTGCTCAATGCATGCGCCACAGCTAAGAATTTATATTTATAGCGATTTGTTGAGCTGATAACCGATTATAAAGCGCAGCCAAGAGCATAGGTAAGCCAAAACTACATCTGATTAGAACTATATCTGCATAGTTTGTATGTATGTACTTTAATACAAAGTAGATTGTTATCATTCATCCAATGATATGAGTGACAGATATATGTTTGCAGTAACTCATCGCTCTATATATATAAGTACGTTCATATATGTATGTATGTATTTTAAATTATCTTTAAACGAAGTAAACATTTTTAACGGGTTACAAAAACTGATTTTATGTTTTCATTTTTAATTGTACTTAAATTATAAAATAACCTTTGGTCAAAATGAAGTTTTTAAATAAATATTAATATTCTCCAATTATTTGCGACACCTTTTACGTGTATCACTTGTTTTTTGAATATTTGTACATAGTATATATATAGTATATATGTATATATTAAGGGATCCTGAAACTTTTTCGGTTTTTTTGCGAAATGCTGTTTTCAGAATCGGCGTTGAAAATGCTCCAAAACGGCTGCATCCAGGGGCTTGAAATTTCCACTTGACCCTCGAAGGAATACGATTTTTATAAAAATTTCAATACTTTAAGCCAGTTTGAAAAAGTTTTCACAAAACAACAAACGAGAACAACTTTTTCTTTTAGGAAGCCGCCATTTCGTCAAAAATCAGAATTAAAAGTAGTTCATTGATCACAACCTGTATTCATCTATCTTAATAATATATTTGGGATCAAGTGAATTCAATTTTTTTCAAAATTATATGATAATTCATTACATTCTGTAAATGTACATTTCTTATAGTTATTAATTAAATAAAATGCTTAAAACAGAGTTTTTTTTACATTGAAATGAATGTAACTACATAACGGAAGATTCAGAAAAAGGCTCGTTTTAATATTGTTGAACTATAGCCATGTGTATAGTATAGTAGGAGTTTCGGTACAAATTTGAGGTCAATGTCAGGGAATTTTGTCATTTAACAGTATATTAAATACAATTGTGTGGAAGTTACTCCAGTTTGACAAGGAAGTCGATTTTTTCGGTGCATATTTTATACGATGCATAATGGGTTTAAGCTATAAATAATTATTTATTTTTAATAAATTATGAAATTAAAACATCTTTTATTAACTTCAGAATTTAATCTCTTAAGTGACGAAAAATGTAAACACAAATTTCAATTGTGAAATCTAAGTGTGTAAATATTCGTGATACCACTTCAATACGCTTACAATTGTAAAATTTCATTTCCTCACGTTAAAAGCCGTTAGCTTGTGTAATATTATTTTGTTTTGACATTTAATGGAAAAGTTTCGTGAAGATATCTTTCACTTGATTTGAACCTATCCGAACAATTTGTTTGGAGATTTTAGTACTGCTTTGAACCAAAATATGTGCCAAAATTCTTTCAAAAAAACACGTTGCACTTAATTATGACCAATCAGCGACAGCTATACTCTAGAGTAGCCTTAACTTGGCGGTCTCTACAAATGGGCAGCAACTTACACAGAAAAGGATTTGTGTCAAATTTCATATATAGTGTAGATATAGAACTATCTATAGACAGATGGGCATGGCTAAATCATTTACATAATATATACTTTACAGGGTTTCCGACCCTTCCTTCTGGGTGTTACAAACTTCGCGGAATACTTAGTATGCCCTGTGCAGGTAAAAAAAAAAAACAGTAATACATATTTACATGTGCTCATATAAAAAAGTAAGACATTTATCTTTGAAAAAAATGTATAAAGTATATTTATATTTTTTTTTTTGCAAAAGTCACATAGGTTAAAACGAAAAAGATATGAGTATATATAAATAAAATGATAGTAGAGCAAATCATAAAAACATTTTATAGAACGCAATCATTGGTAAATATAAATAAAATACATATTATTTAAAATCAGTAACATAAAATTTTTACTTAAAAGTTATCAAATGTTTGTTGATACGAAAACAGTTCACAGTTCAACATAACAAGACAGTCCAATTATACCTCAAGAGATATAAGGTTTCCTTATATGCGCAAGTATCTAAGTTTTGGAGAAGCACAGCGCACACTAAACACAAGTAGGATTCAAATAGCTGCCTTTTAACGAGTGTTATTGATGTGTGGCTTGTGTATGTAATTCTTGCAAATAGCGCTCTTGCTCAGCACGACGATTCTTTTCCAAAATCAAAGCACGTCTGATGAACCGAAAAACAACAAAAAAAATTAAAAATTCGAAACGATAAACATTTATGAAAAAAAAGAAATTGTTTACATATATACAAATAAACGCTGCATAGCAGTATTTCGCACTTACCTATATCGTTCGTAGAAGCCAACAATTGTGCCGAGCTCTTGCTTGAACAGACGTACCAACATACCATCGAAGCACTCAAGATCTTGCAAACTGAACATGTTGAATTGCAGCATATGGTCTTTCGATGAATCGGCATTTGAGTATACCACCAACCATTTGGGTATCTCTTCTAACAAATACGGATTAGCCGGTACTAGCGCATTGTGTGTGTGTACTGGCGGTGTATAAGGAACTGGCATTTCAGGGCCTATGGCCTTCGGTGGTTCGGCAGATGTAGTATATACATAATATGAGGTAAGGCAGGGATGCTGTCTTTGGCATTGCCCTGTGTATTGATTTTCATAGTAGGTACCGTGAACTTTCGAAACAACACGTCGCCATCCTACCGGTAGACCTTCCCTCTCTAGCGGATGCGACCAATGCGTTGTATGCGTGTGATGGTCAATATAATACTTGCGTCCATGAAGAGTATATTGCATTGCCCAGCCGGGTGGAAGTGGTAGCTCTTCTTCTATGGATTGCTGTGATGGCACCTTTTGTAAAACATTTGTGGTACTGTTTGTTTTGCCGACCGATTGTGAGTGTAGCTGCCTCGACGGTGCATGATACAAAGATTGAACAGAAGTTGCAGCTGCTGTACCACCAGTTAAATCGTATGATGAATGCAAGTTATTGTTGGAAACCGCCAGAGTGGTATTACTATAAATGGGTGACTCAGAGCGAACTTCTGCAGTTGATTGAGTAGAACGACTATCGAAATTATTCATTGATGTATGATTATTGTTGATAACGCTTCCTGAAGTATTGGAAGAAACTCTAAAGGGATTTTCGTATATGGGATAGGAGTCAGAGCCGGCTAAATAACTGGCATTGGTTGGATAATGTTGTGGTGGAGTTGGTGTAGCACCACGTGGTATCTGAAGTACATTATTGTAGGAATCCATACCCTCAGCTATTGATGTAGTATTGGTATCACTGCTTGTAAATCCACGGATACGTCCATCATAAGAGTTACTATGTTTTTGATTAGCAGAGTGCCTTCTGTGAAATTGTTCGTACGATGCATTGTTTGGCTGCAATAAAGGTGATGATTGTTGACGTCGCATTCGGTCGATTTGCTCAATGTTTACATAGTTGTTAGTGCTGTTACTAGCATTGCTGCTGTTACCGCTATGACCATGTCCATTGCTGGCCATATCTAAATTATTGCTTGAGTAGAAATGCGGATGTTGGTTTGTTGAGGACATGGAATTGGTAGGCGCATAAAAGCCGGTCACACCGTAACGTTGCTGATGTGCCTGCGACACCGAACGCATCGTTGTCGTTGTCGTTGGAGGCAATTGTGATTGTGCGCGTCTTGCATGATAATAATCAGGTTGCGAATTCAATTGTGAGTCGTTGCCGCAGGAGTAAGTATTGCGACTTGAATTACCAGAACTACGGCCGGTAAATTCGCAACTGGGCGAAGTGCTTGCACAACGCTGCAGTGACTTTTTATTATGTTTGGCTCGCTGCTCATCAAATGACCAGACATTTATCACTGGTATTTCAGGTGGTGTTTCCTTTTTCACATACTTACCAACCACACCTTCCTTATGAGCGGTAGCCTTTTCCTTACTGCGGCGCGACAACATGGTCGGTTTTCGATTGCACAGCAAGATTAGGTAGTTCATTCAATCTCTATAACGCCTCCCATAAAAAGCTACCAAAAATCGAAGTATTCATATTAAAATGAAAATTTCTTTTGTTGCCATGCAAAAACAAAAAGTTTAGTTGCGGTAGCAATTTGTTACTCTGGGTTAATTTTCATGCGCTCTTTTAGATTATTGCGAATGTTGAAGTTAATTTTTACTTCTCAGCTTACTCACTAATAACACAGCAAATAAATAAAGTACTTATAAAGACGTAAAGAAATAAACAACCGGAACAAATTTACAAGTACAAAATGTCAAATTAAATTGGATGGTGATGTGCAAGTAAGCCTTAAAAATAGAGAAACCCTTATGTTATCGATTAATAATACTTGAGATAAGCTGTTCACAACAAGATATGTTGACTTGTATTATTTAGTTTTTAAACTTTTATTTGAAGCTTTACTAGCTATTTTGTGATTACATTAGGTTTTTTACAATCATTTAGAATGAATTCGCATTGCTAATTTTCGATTGCAGAATTTCGACTACTTATAAATAGGCACATCTTTGGTATGCTGACGGCCGGATGACGGATCATGATGAGAGTTGCCATGACTTAATTATTGAAATTTCTATATAAAATGTTATTTTCGTGTTTGAATTTTAAAAACGCATTTTAGATAGTTTAAAAATTAGTTTAAATTATATCGCAAACAAAATCAAATAATCAGACGTTATTAGAATAAATATATTTAAAATATTTTTTTTAAATTTTTTTTAAATTAAAAATCGGAGAAAAATTATTTTTAATTTTATTAAGTTTTAGGTATATATTGCAAACAAAAAAGTGAGTTTTGACACCAAGTCTAAAATTAGAAATTACTAAAAGAAAACGTTAAAAAAAGTACATACTTTTTACTTTGAATCAAAGTGTAAAATGAAAACAGGGTTCTAGAACAACTTCACTCCAAACCAGCAATATACCTGTAATTAATTTGTTTACATGTATTAATTAGTTCCCAAAGTTTATGCTCATCAATTGTTAGAAAATTAATGATTAAGCAAAACAGAGTTATTATAAAATGCCTTAAGCCCAAGAAGAGCAACACATGTTGGACAAGTTTTAGCAAAACTTGAGATGATCATGAGTGCAAATAGCCATAAGGTGCTTAATATACGAATTTTTATAGTCTGTTTAGTTTTTAAACGGGCGCGAGCATCGGCAGTCACTAACTCGAGAAGCTTACTCTGTTTAAGCTTATACTTAATTCTAGTCAGCAATTATTATAATTCACATACATCTAACTGGAGATGTGCTAACGTGTTTTGAAGAGTGCAAAAATAATAAAAAATAGAGAAATTGCAATTACAAGAATTTACTAAAAATAAATTTGTGCAAAATTTGCAAAGTGTATCCACCGTAAAGTGAAATGTCGCAACAGAATGGCATTTCCGCCGAAGCCGCACCGGAAGCGGAGACGGAGCCAAAAGGAGTGGTGGTTTATTTAAAAAAGCTATGGACATATCGACAATATTTGGTGATCGAACCATTTTTCTTTTTCTACTTGATGGCTAGTGTTTTTAATGCAGTAGCAATGCAAAATTTCCCGCTCGACAAGGTAACACTAACCAAGAGTGGATCCTTTCATTTTGGTTTGTGCTTTTAACTGGAGTTGTTTCGATTTTATAGGCGTGTCGCGTTAATTTGGGTTATAATAAAATTGTCTGCGAAACCACTTTGGACAAATCCGAGCTGGGCATAGAATGCGACGACTTCAATTTTGAAAACACAACGCTCGGCGCAGAAGCAGCAGATGCTGCGCTCTCTATCGGTTCGTCGGGCTTCAACTACACTGTGTGCAAAGCTGAAATCGAGGCACAAAAATTAGCTGCCGATGTATCTGGAAAACGCGCACCCATTGGTGTGTATGTTTTATTATAGCATTTCATGCTTCGTGGCTCCATGGTAAAATTTTGAGATTCACATGATGTGTGTTGATTGCATTAACGCTTCATTTGCTGTTTGAGCTGAGTATCAATTTGGACTTATACCAAAAAATTTAATATTTAGAACCAGTTTCGGGTATTTGCATTTCGTGTTTAACACATAATGCAAATCTAAAAAATGTGTGTTTGAATTTCAGAAAATATAAATACCAATCTAATAATTGCTGGTATTACCAGTTCCTTTCGCAAACACGCTCCAGAAGTTCTATACAAGTGTGTGTGTGTGTGACGGAACAAGAGAACAAAACAGAAAAGTAAAACATTCTTCACAATAATATCCCCAAGACATCATTAAATTTTACTTGTTTTATGTATAACTTTTTTTTTGAATAACTAATATATTATTATTTTTCAATATCGTTTTTTAATTTTTTTTTTTAATGATACTTAGTGGCACTTGTAAACTCCAAATATAGATAGTAATTTTGCGCCGTTTATGTTAATTGTTAATCTCTGTTAAAGAAAAAATACACTTACAGCATCGTCAATCGAGGCTTTAATTGTTTATTGGAACGTGATTTTTCATTTGTTTTGATTTCGTAATTTGCCTTTTTCACGCATGCAAATAGTTGCCAATTCATCTTCAGTACTTCAGAGATTTTTGAATTATAGTTCAAAACTGGTTCCGTTAGCACTTACCTTGCGTACAGTTTGATTATTAAACAAGTTGTTTTCATTAGAATTTTTAGTTTTTGTACAAACGGATTAATCAGCATTCGTTCTGAACGCTGTGTTTTATAACATTTGTGTACTTGTGTGTGTGTTAATCTTCAGAAACAAACATATTCGATGTGAGGTAATGTCAATTAGTGAAACGTCGAATGAAATTTTCCTACTAGAAGATGATCACAAAACTTTATTACAACATTCTCTTGCTTAATTGATTTGGAGGTGCTATTAAATAGATTCGTTTAATGAACTGGATTAGAACACATTTAGTCGGTAATCGCTAGAGTGCAAGTGTGTAATACATATATACATATACTTATATAAAAATATATCACATGGTATCGGATGTTTTTTTTTTTATATTTTTGAATTTTTATTATTTCAAGTAAATATGTGTATTTTTATCCTTAAACATTTTTTTGAGAAATATTTGAAAGTGTTAATTGCAATTGCCTGAATAGAAGAAGGAATATTCCAATTAATTAAAAAATGCAGCCTTGTCGCGAAAAAATTGATTTGCCAGGTTCTTTACAGAAACAATTCTTAATTACGGCGAATTCTCAAACGTTTTCAGAGATTGATTACATTCATACATTTTTAATTGCATATTCAATTCAAATGCAAATGTTTAGTCATCACGAAGCTTAATTTCTCCATGTATGTATGTAAATACATATGTATTAAGCTATTGAATTAACTGTTATATGCAAATTTTTGTTTGACCAATATTTAGTTTATTTTTAGTTCAAATGTTAATGAAAAAATAAAATAAAATAAAATTAATATTTAATACTTTTCTGTATTTTTTTTTATATTAACTTCGGCTTGATACATTTCTTAAAGCGTCGAACTATATTATTATTCTAATATTGAGTGGTCAGTTTGTATGGCAGCTTTATGTTATAGTGGTCTGATCGGAACATTTGGGGTTGTCTGGGACAATACTTAAGTTATGTAAAATTTCGTCAAACTATTTTATCAAGTTTTCTATTACAGAACTTAATTTATATCTTTAAACACGGGGGACCTCTATGCATATACTGTGATCAAAATGAAAGGTGAATTTTTGATTTATACTTCGCGTGTTTTTCGAATCGGTAAGTTTTTTTGTAAGTTGGGAGTGACATCTATGCTAAATTTCACGCCAAAATATTCATTAGTATTTGAGATACGTGTCGCTTTTTTTGCTCTAAAAGTAAATTAATTTATGGAACAAGGAAGTGCGATAATGCACCATCTCATACTGCATTGGTTATTCGTGATCATTATGCCACATTTTCAACTACTATCGTACCAACACGACGGAGGATTTTTCCAGGATTTTCCTATGATAACTGGAAAATACCTTGGCATAATTGTATTACAGCTGGAGGAGATTACTTTGAAAGAAATGAAATGGACAAAATTTACCTTTCAATGTGACCACAGAGTATATAGACAGACGCACATACATACAGACATGACTAAATCGACTCAGCTCGGCTCGCTAATCATTTATGTATATATTAATATTACTACTTGATTACTTTATAGGATATGCAACGTCTCTTTCTGAGCATTAAAAACTTCGTGGCAAACTAAATATACACTGTTCAGGGAATAGAAGCGCATTTCAGGTCAAGTAAATGCATTATCCTGTATATGACTAGTTATCTATAAAACAGAAAAAAAGAAAAACTTTTATTTATCATAATTCCTAAGAAACTAAGTTCAAATCGATTAACTTTCTCATCAAAATATATACTTGGCATTAAAATGCGGCTTAAACCCCAATCAACACTGTTTACCTTTTAGAAAGCTTAATTATATACTATTACATCGCAACTAATAAGCCTTATGAGGATTATAATTTTGATATGTAATATTTGCAATGTCAGAGTACTTGAAAATACTTAATGATTTGGAGAATATATCACTGCGAAGAGTTATAAAATATTTTAACAAATTGTTTATTTGACTAACAAACGATTTTTTACATTTTCTTATTTACAGCTGCCATCTTTCCTTTGATTGTGTTACTTTTCGCTGGTGGCTGGTCTGATCGTTACAATAAGCGCAAGCCATGCATGATTATGCCCATTATTGGCGAGTTGCTTTCCTTCACATGTAAGCACATTAAAAAAAAAAATCATTATAATAGTAAAAAAGCATTATAATAGTCAAATAAATGTAAAAATATATTAAATGGAAATTAAAAAATTTAAATACAAAATTTTTGTGCCATGAATTCCCCAAAGGTTTGCTAATTTCGGCTATCTTCTTCGACGCCCTGCCTATGGAGTTTGGCGCATACTGCGAGGCGATCGTACCTGCATTATTCGGCGGACTCACGTTTTGTTTAATGGCTATATACAGTTATATAACTATAGCGACACCTGAGAAAGATCGGATATTTAGGTAATATTTACAATTTTCAACTATTTTTATATAAATATATTCCATTATTTTCATGCCTTTTCCATCATTTTCAAACTAATCCTACTGTTCAATCCCTTCAGATTTGGTATCTTTGCGATGTTCGTGACAGCTGTGCCTTTTATTGGCCAACCAATAAGCGGTTTTCTGTTTCAGAAACTTGGTTATATATGTAAGTCACAAATCTTTGTTTTGCAACACAAAAATTACATTAATTTCTTTTCTTTTTTGTGTTGTGTCTCACAGTTTCCTTTGGCATGGCCGCATCATTTCAAATTATTGCCATACTCTACATAATATTCTTTATAAAAGAGGTGCAACCCGCACCTAAAACAGTTGAAAAAGCACCTGAAGACATCCCGCCACCATTGCCGGCACATGGTCCACCACCGCTACGTGTCGGCGCTGACAATTTGGCTTATGAGCACACAGGCACCGATGAGGTGGATCGCGTCAAGAATGTGAGTTTTGAATTAAATTCGCGTTTAGAGCCGTCAGATAAGTCGGCACAGTTATCGAATGCTGACGCTGCAACACCCGCTCGACGGTCCTTTCTTCGTGAATTCTTCGATCCAACTTTGGTTTTAGATTGCCTTAAATTTCCATTAGTAAAACGTCCGAACCACGGAAGAATGTTACTGATTTTACTTATAACTGCTTACTTTTTGACCCTTGGTCCCGTTTCAGGTAGATCAAAACCTTTGATTATTAAATTTAAATGGAGAGCGAAATATTTTGTACTCTTTTGTAGGCGAAAATGATTATTGGTACCGTTATACACTTATCAAACTCAATTGGAATGGAAATGACTTTAGTTTCTTCTTCACGTTTTCTTCTGCGGCAGCTTTAGTTGGTATGTGGAAAATACTTTATATGTACAAATATTAGAACGGATCGATTTTTTTTCTATGAAGTTGCATAAGTGGGAAATGTTCTATGTATCATTCTTAACATTTTTGCTTAAGAGACTATGGATCTAAAGCCTCGTGTCAGCGATTTTTGTATGGAAGATATCTGATATTGTTGTTCGATCAGACCGATTGCGACAAATGATCAATAGAATATCAAAATGCACATTCACACTAAATTTCAAAAGGATATCTCACTGATACTGACGAACAAATTTTTAAGATCCCTAAAAACCTTCGCTTTAAAAATCGTTGATTTTAGACCCATAATCTTTTTGCCAAAGTTGCTCAGAATTATCCGTACAACCTTTCCTGCAAATGCGATTTTTCCGTTTTTTGGCTCTCTGTATATCAACCCGCTCTAATGTATATATGTACATATTTTTGGTTTGAAAATCTTGTATATGTCAACTGTTATTAGCTTCTATCTATGTTTCCCTATTTTTATGCTACGGCTTTTCGTACTTTAAGATTTTTTTAATATTATTTTTCACTTTTAGGCACTTTTATTGGGACCGCTATACTTAGTAAATTGCTGAAATTTTCGGACCCCACCATTGGCATATTATCAGCTGTAGCAATTGTTATTTCACGAATTCTCTTTGTAAGTTAAATTCATAATTATTCTTAATTTTTTAATAACTGCCTTTTAATTTAAATTTTGCATACATTTCAGGCTTTTGCCAGTGATACGAAGTCTTTCTATGTTGCTGGTGTTGTTGATATGTTCGTGAGTTTGCGTGTCATTGCCATCAAAACTATCAGCTCCAGCATTGTTGATGGCGCAGAATTAAGTTAGTGTTTAAAGATAATTATTTGAGCGAAGATTTTATATATATTTTTTTTAATTTCTATAATTATAGGCAAAATGTACTCGATATTTGGTATTAGTGAGCCAATTGGGCAGTTCATATTCCCGCCAATTTTCAGTGCCATATATCAAGAAACTGTGGCAACTTTTCCTGGTGCGATCTTTCTCTTTGGCGAAGTATTCTATGTACCCAATGTGCTGGTGTTTATGTAAGTGACCTTTTTTGGATATTCTCTGTTTTACTAAATTTTTGTATTTTTTTTTTTCATTTATCTTATAAACTATTTTGTTTTATTTTATTTTTTGCTTGCAGATTGTGTTATATCATTTTACGGCGCAGAAATAAATCTCCGCAGAAGCCCGTAGAAAGTACCAGTGCAAATACTGACCCCACAAATCCGGATTGTGAAATAACTAGTCTATAATTCTTTTATTCATGTATATAAATTTAATAAGAATGCTGCCAAGCTGTGTAAAAGATTAAAGAAAAAACTTTATCTTTGAAAATATTATACTGAAAATATTTTGGGATGCTTTACGTTTATTTAAAATATTTTAATATTGAAATCGGTTTAATTTTTCATGCTGAAAAGTTTTGACCATGGAAAACTCTAGTTTTTTTATTTTA